TCTTCTCACCATCATGGCCTATGACCGCTACGTTGCCATCTGCAAACCCCTGCACTACGGGACCCTCTTGGGCAGCAGAGCTTGTGTCCACATGGCAGCAGCTGCCTGGGGCAGTGCTTTTCTCAATGCTGTCCTGCACACAGCCAATACATTTTCACTCCCCCTCTGCAAGGGCAACACTGTGGACCAGTTCTTCTGTGAAATCCCCCAGATCCTCAAGCTCACCTGCTCAAAATCCTACCTCAGTGAGGTTGGGCTCATTGTGGTCAGTGCCTGTTTAGTCTTGGGGTGTTTTGTTTTCATCGTGGGATCTTACGTGCAGATCTTCAGGGCTGTGCTGAGGATCCCCTCTCAGCAGGGACGGCACAAAGCCTTTTCCACGTGCCTCCCTCACCTGGCTGTGGTCTCCCTGTTTGTCAGTACTGCAGTGTTTGCCTACCTGAAGCCCCCCTCCATCTCCTCCCCAGTTCTGGACCTCGTGGTGTCTGTTCTGTACTCGGTGGTGCCTCCAGCAGTGAACCCCCTCATCTACAGCATGAGGAACCAGGATCTCAAGGATGCCGTGTGGAAACTGATGACTGGATGTTTTTGAGAAGCAATAAACTTCCCATCTTCTGCACAGTACTTACGGTGTAAAGCACTATAGGACCAGCCTGGTTTTGCTAGTTGTTTTGGTTTTGGTTTTGGTTTCAGCTTTTTTTAGTTGTAACAATGTTGTCCACAAAGAAATTTCATTATTCATGCCGTTCCTAATTCAGTCTCTACCTGTCTTGTGTGACCCAGAGACTGAGTAATGAGCCATGCTCCCTGTGTTTTAAAACAAAATAAGCGACCCTGCAGTGAGTTGTTTGTCCAAAATCCTTTCTGCCAGACCTTCTCTGGAGCTGCAGGGGCAGTGCCTGTGTTCAGAGGTGGAGGGGAAAAGAGTTCATGCAGAGCAGCACTGCCAGGTAGCACCCGTTCTTGGCCTTTCTGAGCTGCTCATTTTCCCCCTCCACACCCTCCTGAAGAGCCCTCACCTAGCTGTAAGGACCTGAGGGCACTGGCAGCTCAATATAGTCCTGGGGTGTGGCAGTGTGTGCCAGCAGGCAGGGACAAGAAATGGACACTTCTGTGACAGAGCTGATGTCCCTCACAGCATCATGAAAGGGGATCTTCTAAGGGCAGTGCTTGAACGCTTAGGTCTGTTTCTATCGATGTTCTTAAGAACATGGCCAGGAAAATGCACAGGAGAGAAAACACCAGTGAGTAGCTAAAGTGTGTGAGTGCGCATGGTGGGGGGGCACGGCAGTGTTCTTTCACAGCCAAGCTTCCTGGGAGGGAGATGAAGGACCAGCAGAGCAGGGTCTGGTCTGTGCCTGTGTTCACTGGGCACCCGGGGGGAGCTGCCCCAGAGCACTCGTCACCAACGCACCAATAACAACCACCATTTTCAGCACTGGCCTCTTACCGCAGTTCTTTGACCCACCATGGAGACACACCAAATAACAAGGTCAGAAGCCTCTGTCTGTGTTGTACCGAGAGACATGAGCATGCACATGGTGTGCGTGTGGTGAGATTAAACAAGTGAGCACAATGCCATCGGCTGTTCCTAGGGGTGTGTGGTGAGCTGGCCTTGGCTGGACAGCAGGTGCCCACCAAGTCATTCTACCACTCCCACTCCTCAGCTAAGCAGGGAGAGGAAAAATATGATGAAAAGCTCATGGACTGAGATAAAGACAAGGAGATGACTCAGCAATTACCATCACAGGCAGAACAGACCCGACTTTCATTTATTACCCATCAAATCAGAGTAGGGCAACGAGGAATAAAAACAAATCTTAAAACACCTTTCCCCCACCCCTCCCTTCTTCTCCAGCTCAACTTCCCTCCCAAATTCTCTACCTCCTTCCCTCAAGTGGCACAGAGGGATGGGGAATGGGGGTTGTGGTCAGTTCATCACAGATTGTCTCTGCCACTCCTTCCTCCACATATTCTTCCTCTGCTCCAGGGTTGGGTCCCACCTGTGGGAGACAGTCCTCCACAAACTTCTCCAATGTGGGTCCTTCCCACGGGCTGCAGTTCTTCACAAACTACTCCAGCATGGGTTCCTTCCAAGGGGAGCAGTCCTTCAGGAACAGACTGCTCCAGAATGGGTCCCCCATGGGGTCACAGGTCCTGCCAGAAAGCCTGCTCCAGTGTTAGCTCTCCACAGGGTCACAGCCCTCTTTGGGCACATCCACCTGCTCCGACGTGGGGTCCTCCGTGGGCTGTAGGTTGATATTTCATCCACTGTGGAACTCCATGGGCTGCAGGGGAACAGCCTGCCGCAGCAGGGTCTTTACCACAGGCTGCAGGGAAACCTCTGCTCCAGTGCCTGGAGCACCTCCGTCCCCTCCTTCTGCACTGACCTTGGTGTCTGCAGGGCTGTTTCTCCCACATAGTCTCACTCCTTTCTCCCAGATGCTGTTGTGCAGCGGTTTTTTCCCCCTTCTTAAATGTGTTATCACAGAGGTGCAACCACCATCGTTCATGGGCTCAGATTTGGCCAGCAGTGAGTGGGTCCACTTGGAGCCAGCTGGCATTGGCTCTATCAGGAATAGGGGAAGCTTCTGACATCTTCTCACAGAACCCACTCCGTTAGGCCCGCCTCGCA